GTTTATGATAAAAATTTGTTTTCACGGTAAACAATTATTATTGTAACTGTCTATTTCATATTTTTTTTTTCGTTGTCAAGAATGTCGAGGGCCGAGGGCTTACTACTTGACTTTTTTGTAATATTTTGACTAGTGTCTGTTTTTTTTTTTTTTGCTAATTTTACTTCAAATATTATCATTGTTGTAGTTATTCTACATATTAAGGTTCTTATTATTATTATTATTATTACTATTATTATAATTATTATTATTATTATTATTATTATTATTATTATTTAGCAGTCTTGTATACGCATGAACTCACAAAAAGAAAGAGCAGGTTGGGGGAGAAGATTAAGTGGACCACGAGAGGAGTGATTGCTACCACCACCGACTGCAGGGAGGAAAATTCAAGGAGTCAGTGAAGAGATGGTGCGATGAGAGAGCGAAAGTGCAGGAGTGAGAAAGAGAGAAAGTGGATAGACAAGATGTCGGAAGGTTAATGCATTGTTCGTTGTGGAAGTTCGTTTCTATGTGTACGCGGTGAGTGAAACGGATAATTTATATTTTTTTCAGCACGATATTTCCCGAATAAGCTCATTATCTTAGCTCATATCCGCTTTGGAGCTTTTTATCAAAGATAATTTTTTTTAAAAGGTTTTAGAGATGCTGCTTCATAGATCATGCGTGACAAGATTTTAATGAACACGTTACGCTCAAGGGCTTTCTTTTCATTGTTATTTTTTGGGTAAGTATTTAAATGGTATGGTTACGAAAAGAGGAGCAATTAAAGATAATTTTTATACTTTTAAAAATCATGTACTCTGTGAAACTTAATTTTTTGTAAACATTTTTTNTCACCGTAAAGGATGTTGGAGCCAACGTAAACTTCAATGTCGTTGTCCGTAAAACTAAAACGGTTATGAAGATGAATGAGCATATTTTGAACACTTTTTGCATTGGTCACGCGTTAGATTTTATTTACCCCTCGAGGCAATGCGCAGCAGTCAGAATCCAACCATGATAGTTACATTATAGTTTTAAACGCGTATTACAAAAATATGTAATGTCTATCAAGTTACCTTGACCATACATGAATCTGCAAAATAATTTATAGAAAAAAAACTTTATTGAAGCGAAGCTTTTTATGTAAGGCCCTCCCTTGACGATAATAAGGGAAAGCGTCATACTTTTACTTGCCCCCTCCTTTCCTGTTCGTCCTCTTACTACCGCTTGCACACTTGACAGCGAGAGTAGGATTTATACTTAATATCCCGATCGGAAATCTAAGTGGGATACTCCGCTAGTTAGGTAGGTTTTAGATTTGCTGCCGAGGTAGGACCTATACCTTTACATTTTAACGGGGCTCTAGCGAGGCTCTACCAGAGGCCAAGGTTGCTATCTTCTACCTAATTTTTCCTGGCGTTTTAAAAACGGATACGAACGCGAGTACGTAGAGCAGAGCACTGTGTGTGTGCGTGTGTGAAAATATCGAAAAACCCCGGTCGGAAATTTTCTACACACGGAGGATTATTGTCTAAATGAAAATCGATTCTTAAAATAGCGTCCTCGTTAATTAATGTGTTGAAACCAAAAAGTACGATGTATGACACAAACATTTCAAGTGCATGCAGCATCATAAAATTAA